GATGGGCGCCCCTGCAGACCCATCTGCCTCCAAGAGACTGCCAATATAGATGGCGTTGTTCACCGGCTTGATCAGCGCGCCCTGTGGCGTGAGCTTATTCGCGTTGCGGCGGATCTGCACATGGGCCGTTTTGGGCCAGTTCGGTTCCAGGCCATACATGTTTGATCGATGTAACAATCTCTCCAGGACGTATTGCAGACGTGGGGTATTGTCTGATGTCAGACCAGCGTCGTCGCCGCACCCGATGCCGCCGCTAGTATCAGACGGCGACGCCGGTCCGAGTGCCGCTTGAACGTCCTCGTCTACATCAGACATTATCACAGTGAGGGTGATTACGAACATATATGGGCTAAGCGGGCACCCTCGCGGAATGCCCGTGCCCTGCGAGTAAAGTGCGGACGCGCCCTGTCGCCCCCGCATCTCGAACGTCTGCCTGTTGTAGAAGGCAGAGCTCATCGCTCAGAAGTGGCCCGGCAACCCGAAGCGCGCCATGGCAGGGTGCATCGCGGCCGGGTCGACTCGACCAAATGCCTTTGGCCGGTCCACGAGGGTCGCGGACGGCGACCCATTCGCGGTCGCCCATGCCCCCCCGTCGCACCGCTGCGCGAGGAAGACCGCGCGCGTTGAGCTGCGTTTGACCTGGAAGCCGAATTGCGCGTTTCGGAGGCGGCTCTCAGTTCCACCACTTACAATGCGGCCCAGAATGAGCGCGGCAAGGACTCTGTAGCCGACTGGGAGCATCCGGGAGAAATTCGCCCCCTTCCTGGGAGATCGCCGTAACGACAGAATGCCGCCAGTTTTGTGGAATGGCTGTCTGCCGCCAGCAACTGTTGCGCATGTGTGATATAACTTCGCATGCGGCTGATCTCGAACCAGGGGCGCGCCGTCGGCGCCCGCCGTTTCTCCAGCCTGCTATCCCCCCAGGGCGGCGCCCGGCCCACCGGCCGAGAAGATGGCGGACGAGGCGCGCGGCGGCTCATGTAGCCTTGACCCACCGGGGAGAGGGTTGCCCAAAGGTCTTGGCATCCACTGCACTTCGGCGCAGGAGGCAGCCAGGGTACCCGGCCGATCTGAGACCTCCACAAATTTTCCTCGGGCGTTCCTTAGACGGCCCCGTGGTTGCACGCCTAACCGCATTAACTTCTGTAAATTACGCCATTCGCCGCTGCCGAGAACGTCTTCGAGCCGAGCCTTCCGATCCCACTGCGCTGATTGCCCGGCCTGTCTGGTCAACGCTTTCTCCTGCTCGCGCCGGCTGCGGGCGCGCGCAATCAAATTCAGCGTCGCCGCGCGAATCCACGGCCGTTGCGCCTACGCGGGCCGCTGTCTGAAGCACCCTTTCCGCTGCTGTCTTGAAAATGGCCGCAAGCCCCTCGGCCGCGTCGCCCAATCTAGAGCCGCCATCAATGCGTTGAGCGGCGGCGTTTTCACAGGCGGCGACGAACTCGCATTGCGCCCAGGGCCCCTTGAGCGAATCCAAATCGCGCGTCGCGTTCCGTCGCGCTGCGGGGGCATGCCCAGAACGGCTGCCGTCAGAAAGTGGCGAGAAGCAAGGCCAGTGACCGCGCCTGGCCGTCAACAACCCTCCCGGGGCCATCGCCGGCACCGCTTCGGGCGATAGCTCTAGCGCCGCAAGGATGCATGTATATGTATATATATGTATATATATATGTATATATACATATGTATATACATATTATATATACATACACTCATAGCACGGAGAGGGACGCGCGCGGCGAAAAAGAGAGGCGCTGAGAAGGGTTGGGAGGAAAGCAGATGGAACGAGCGCGCCTGAGTTCGAACGTGTCTGAGTGCGAGTGTGAGCGCATGTGAAAGCGAGTGTCAGAGTGCGCGCGAGTGCGTCTGATTGTGCCTGAGTGCGAGCGAGCGCGAGCGCGTCTGACTTGAATTATGGTTGGGGACCTGAGTGGGGCCTGAATCCGAGCGCGAGCGCACCGGAGTGCGAATGTGTCTGAGAGGGGCAAGTCTGGGCTGAGTGAGTCTGAGTGTGGTTGACGCTGACCAGGACTGAATCTGAATAACAGGTCGAGGAGAGACGTCGCGATACTGGTGGTGAGGATGCCTGATATTGCCACCGGGAGCTGAAAGCCGAGTGCTGACTTCGCGCGAAAGCTGAGCCCTCCTGTAGGCTCCTAGCTCGCATTGAGGCGGCGAAAGCGCTCGAAGGTGAGCTGGATGCGCTGAGCCTGCCGCGCGGAGAGTTGACCTCTGACCAGCGAGGCAGACACGCGCTGAAACTGCGCTAACAACTGGCCGTAAACAAATCCTAGAAGCGGCCGAGCGCTGGAACTGAGCACCGTCCTCCACTGAGAAAGATCTCTGAGCTCTGTAAAAAAAAGCATCGTGGGTCTGAGAGAACAAGGCCCGATCGTGCTCCGCGCTGTCCGTCTCCCCCCTCCCTCGCACTCTGACTCACCCCCATGCGCAGGCAGCCCCGCGGGGCCCGAATGGCCCCAGCGACCCCGGCGGCCCTGAG